GATACGTTTTGTTGTTTTTATGCCTTTGGGATTTTTTTTATAGGTACCTCATGTGTAACCTTAGCCTAGAGCAGTGATTTCTGTCTTTATTGCATGTTATGATTGATAAAGGCAATGAAAATAGAGTTGTTTAGGTCCCCCATCTAGAGATAGTTTTAGTTGCTCTGTGGGTAATTCTTGTGAGCAACCTGGGTTGAGAAGCATTGGCCTCACACAGCATCTTATTTGATGAATTCTAGAATGAAAAATTATTTTAAAAGACAGTGTATCTGCAGTAAAACAAACAGAACCTCAGGCTGGTTGCTAAAACATAACTAGTGAAGAGCAAAATAATATCACGCATATCCTCTCATATTTTTAGAAGATAGCCGTTATTTTCTGTATTTCTCTAGGTGTATTTATTTTTAAACAAATATGGGGTCATACAATATGTACCATTCTTTGAATTGTTTTTACTTAGTTAAATATACTCTAGAGAAATTCATTTCCCAGAAATAATTTTGTGCAAGGATTAAAAACAAAAGCACAGAAGATAATTTCTAGTGACTTGGCAACCAGGGCTGATGAGAGATCCAGACTGGGAGCGAGGCTGTTTCTAGTGTTGCTTGGAGGCTGGAACCCATCACCGCTCCCCTGCCTCTGATCCCACCGAAGGTAAACACACACACACACACACACACACACACACACACACACACACACACAGCAAGAACGAACACACATGACAAGAACGAACACACACATACACACTGGGACAGCTCACAGCTCCCCTGATGAGCTCAGTGAGCTCACAGCTCACTGATCCTGCTGAAGGTAAACACACAAACACACACACACACACACACACACACACACTGGGACAGCTCACAGCTCCCCTGCCTCTGATCCTGCTGAAGGTAAACACACACACACACACACGGCAAGGATGAACACACATGACAAGAACTAACACACATACACACACTGGAACTGATCACAGCTCCCCTGCCTCTGATCCCGCTGAAGGTAAACACACACACACACACACACACTGTTTTACTGCAGATACACTGTCTTTTAGAAGCAGTTTTTCATTCTAGAATTCATCAAAGGAGAAGATGCTGTGTGAGGCCAATGCTTCTCAACCCAGGCTGCTCACAAGAATTACCCACAGAGCAACTAAAACTATCTCTAGACGGGAGACTCTGTTTTCATTGCCTTTATCAGGGCAGTGATTGAGTGGGTGGCATACTTCTGTTTTGGAGAGAGTGTTGTTTAACCTTTGGTTTTGGGTTTTGTTGAGCACCAGCGGAAGCCTCCCTCTGGCTTCCTGCTTTCCTGGTTGCTCAGTTGCTGGAGCGCAGGTTAGGCCGGGGTATGATTGGGAAGGGCAGACGGGGCCTCTGGGTTGCTCCTGTGAGTTGTGCAGGGCACACCGGTTGAGAAAAGGTGGTCTCCTGGTCTCAGCACCTCTTCCTGCTCTGGGGCTCTGGGGCATCTGTCTTTACTCTTAGAGGCCTGCAGTTAGTTCTCCAGGTGTCCTGCATTTGCAGAAGTGAGTCAGGCCTTAGACAGACTTGTTTATCTGGAGTAGCTCCAGGTCTTCAGAGGCCCTCTCTGTTCACTGACGGGGTGGTTGGTATGGATCAGGTAATTTAAAATAGTAGTAACAACATGCAACCTAAATTAATTGTAGATATCCTGAGCAGCAGTCAGTTTTTTTTTTCTGTGATAAAGAGTATGATTTAAAAAAAAGAAAGAAAGAAATTTGAGTTTGGGTAGTTTGTGCTCAGTCTGCTTGAGGGATAATCCTGGACTGATCTTTACAGGACTGTTTGAGATTCTGCCTTTTGGTTATATCATTCTTTGATATCTGGGGATTTTATAAGACATTAGACTTAAAAATTTACTTTTCCTAATTACTGAGTAAATTTGTTGAGGTCAATAGCTATTTAGTCAGTAGGCAGACAACATTACTTAATAATGTCAAATAATTCCTGTTCATAGTGTTACATATAGTTGAGAAATTTTTCACCCCACCTTCATGACAAGGACAACGAATAAAATTGCCTTTGGGGGTTGGCTCGTAAGAAGCGGGCTTGGGGACCAAGGCAAAGGACTGATGCCCGACTCCTCTTATTAAGAGCAGGCGCCTGCTACAGAGCCTTTCCTCATCTCAAAGCTCGCTTGATGAAAATCTCCCCACCCCCTATTTTTGTTCTCTTATATTCTCACTTTGTTAGATTCACTCTGAAAAGTTATATTTTAAAATACAAATATCATCTGGGCAAGTTAAGTGTTTTTATCTTTAATGCATTTATTATAAATTGAAGCTATTTGTTTGGGAGTGACAGCATGAAAGCATTGTTTCCCTGAAAGCTGTGAGAGAATCCTCTGAAAGGCAAGCTTTGTCTGTTTTTCCTTAATCATGAGCGTCTCTCTCTTCTGCCATATAGAAGCATGTGTGGTACTTTAACACAGAGATTTATCAGATTTCTCTTCCTTGAAATTATCAGTCCATTCTAAGTGTCAATTCTTAAGAATTTGGCAGGGTGAAACTGATTTTTTTTTTAATCTGTTTTCTATATGGCCTCCCTTCTAAAAATTAAACCTTTAATTTTCAGATAATTGTAGATTCCCATGTAGTTGTGAGAAGTAATACAGAGAGAACCCAAGTGCCCTTTACCCCAGTTGAAAAGTGAAAGTTGCTCAGTCGAGTCAGACTGTTTGCGACCCTGTGGACTATACAGTCCATGGAATTCTCCAGGCCAGAATACTAGAGTGGGTAGCCATTCCCTTCTCCAGGGAATCTTCCCAACCCAGGGATCAAGTCCAGGCCTCCCGCATTGCAGGCGGATTCTTTACCAGCTGAGTCACAGGGGAAGCCCAAGAATACTGGAGTGAGTAGCTTGTCTCTTCTCCAGTGAATCTTCCCAACCCAGAAATTGAACTGGGGTCACCTGCGTTACATGCAGATTCTTTACCAACTGAGCTATACCCCAGTTACCCAACAGGAACATCTTGGAAAAACCACTGTATAATACCAAAACAAGGATGTTGACCTTGATACAACCCACCAACCTTTTTCAGATTTCACAGGTGTTACTTGTACCCCTGCACTCGTGTGTGTTTGTATTTAGTTCTTTACAGTTTTATCACTTGTATATGTGTATACCACCACAGTCAAATACAGAACAGCTTCATGGCTGCAAAGATCCCCTGTGTTTGTACCCATTTTAAGACAAGAAGTCCCCCATTTCCTCTCCCCCAAATCCCTGACACCCACCACCCTATTTTCTGTTTCTGTTGACTTGACTACTTTAGATACCTCATAGAAGTGGATTTTACCAGTATTTGCCCTTCTGTGACTGGTTTATTTTACTTAGCATAATGTCCAGAAGATTTATACGTGCTGTAGCATGTGAGGAATTTTCTCCCAATGGGTAATATTCCATTGTATATATAAACCTTATTGTTTATTAATTCATCCATCGATGAACACTTGAGTTGCTTCCACCTTTTGGCAGTGGAGAATAATGTTATTGTAAACATGGCTGTGTAACTCTTCATGATCCTGCTTTAATTCTTTTGCATATATACCCAGAAGGGGAATTACTGGATCAAATGGTCATTTTTTTTTTTAATTTTGGAGGAACTACCACACTGTTTTCCATAACTGATGCCCTGTTTTACATTCCCATCAGCAGTGTATATCTGTACTCCAGTGATGTTTGAGTAAATAAGTTTTAATTAATCCATTTTTGTTCTCTTTATTCATGACTATTTTATTGCCCTTCTTTTTCACTTGATAGTGAACAAATAGCACATAGCAGATGAGATATTTTGCACTACAGAATGTTTGCTACCAAGGCTGATCCTCAAGGTGACATCTAAATATTTTGGAGTCAGTTCTTTCAGCTATAAATAACAGAAACTTTACATGGGCCAATTAAAAAGGATTTCATTACAAGGCGATTTTATCATGTTGAATCTAAGGGTATTAACATGGCAGGGCTGTATGTAGCACTGAAATAAGGAATTTGGTTGTTCCTTGCCTTTGATGCTTCTATTTATCTTTCATCCTGTTATCATGGATTTCATCACATGATGATGAAATGACTGTTCACAAAGCCTGAGCCCTTCAGGCTCAGCCATCCAAAGACCGAGGTGCTCGGTTTTGGTCCCAGTTCAGAGTCCCCAGGGGAAGGGGCTCATGGACCCAGTTTGTACCAGTGGTCTGTGCAGATGTTCCTCCCCACAGACACGGTCAGGGGGATGGAGTCAGCGCGAGGACAGGCAGCCTCTGCACGAACCACATGCACTGATGTGGGGGTGGGGGGGGGCAGGTGGCCAGAAAGAAAGGGAGTGGGTGCTCGAGAGAGACCGAAGGGCATGCCCATCGGGTGTCTGTAGCCGAGACTTCAGTGAAAGCAGCTGAGACTACACTGATGAGTTCTGGGTGAGGACTAGTATATTACCTGAGACAAAGAACTTAAAAAATTCTGACTGGTTCTTTAGTATACAAAGTCGAGAGCCAAGAGGGAAAGGACCTGAGATTCTTAAAATCGTAAAAGACAAAAATCATTGACTCACTTCTGGAATTATTTGAATTAAGCGGTAGTTTTTTTTTTTTTAAGGTCTGGACACTTAGTGTAGAAAATTATATATCAGACAGCAGTTAATTAACTTATATAATTTATTCCAGGAGATTTGCAAACAAGAGGTTGTATCAGAGAGAATAATAGAGCATAGCTGTGTGATGGGGACATTTAGAGGAAATTGGAGTGTGGCTTTGACCTGGTGAAGTCATGGAGGGCTTGATTTCCTCATCAAGCTGTAGTAATGATGATAATTGTTAAAACTTATTTAGTACTACTATGTATCAGGTATTGTACTGGGCACATTTGTATCTGTGATCTTTTTTAACCTTCATCCAGATCATGGGTGCTCACACTTTGTTACACTGGATTTTTCCAAGACGTTTTCCAGCACAGTTTTCAACGCCTTGCTTTCCCTTTCAGAGATGTGGTACTGGATCTTCCTCTGGGCCCTCTTCTCCTCTCTGTTCGTCCATGGTGCTGCCGGAGTGCTGATGTTCGTGATGCTGCAGAGGCATCGGCAAGGGAGAGTCATCTCCGTCATCGCCGTCAGCATCGGATTTCTGGCTTCCGTGACTGGAGCGATGATCACTAGTAAGTGGATGCTGTTTGAAGAATGTCATTTTATATGCACATACAGTCTGGGGCAAAAGCCCAGGCTTATAGGTTTCATTATAGTGTGTGTGTGTGTGTGTGTGTGTGTGTGTGTGTGTGTGTGTGTCTGTGCGCGCTGTGGTTGCACAGTCACGTCCAACTCTTGGCGAGCCTATGAGCTGTAGCCTGCCAGGCTCTTTTGTCCATGGGATTTTTTTTATAGGTTATTAGAAGATATTAAATGTAGTTCCTAGTCCTACACAATAGTCCTTGTTACCTATTTTTTCTATAGTAGTTTGTATCTGTTAATTCCAGGTTTCTCTCTCCCCCTGCTTTCCACTTTGGTGAACATCACTTTGCTTTCTGTGTCTGTGAGTCTGTTTCTGTTTTGTAAATAAAGTTTATTTGTATCATATTTTATCCACATCCAAGTGATGATGTATGATATTTGTCTTTTTCTGTTTGACTTCACTTAGTACATTGATCTCTAGTTCCATCCATGTTACTGCAAATGGCATTATTTCATTCTTTTTTAATTGCTGAATAATATTCCACTGTGTATGTATACCATATCTTTATCCATTCGTCTATCAATGGACATTTAGGTTGCTTCCATGTCTTGGCTATTTTAAATAGTGCTGTGATGAACATGGGGGTACATGCATCTTTTTTTAATTAGAGTTTTCTCCAGTTATATAACCAGGAGTAGAATTGCTGAATCATGTGGGGCCTCCCTGGGGGCTCAGATGGTTAAGAATCTGTCTGCAATGTGGGAGACCTGGGTTCTATTCCTGGGTTAGGAAGATCCCCTGGGGAAGGGAATGGCAATCCACTCTAGTACTCTTGCCTGGAGAATCCCGTGGACAGAGGAGCCTGGCAGCTACAGTCCACAGCGTTGCAGAGAGTCAGACACTGCTGAGCAGTTAACACACACACACACACACACACACACACACACACACACAGTAACTGTATTTTTAGTTGGTAAAGAACCTCTGTACTGTTCTCCAAGGTAGCTGTCCCGGTTTATATTCCCAACAGTGTAGGAGGGTTCCTTTTTCTCCACACTCTCTCGAGCATTTATTATTTATAGGCTTTGTAATGATGACCATTCTAACTGGTGTGAAGTGATATCTTATTGTAGTTTTGATTTGCATTTCTCTAATAATTAGTGATGTTGAGCATCTTTTCATGTGCCTGTTGGCCATCTGTATGTCATCTTTGGAAAAATATCCATTTAGGTCTTTTGCCCATTTATTGATAGGGTTGTTGGTTTTTTGTTTTTTGTTTTTTTTAATATTGAGCTTTATGAGCAGCTTGTATATTTTGGAAATCGTTAGCAAATATTGGTCCCATCGTTAGCAAATATTTTCTCCTGGTCCATAGGTTGTCTTTTTCATTTTGTTTATGTTTCCTTTGCTATGCAAAAGGCTTTTAAGTTTAATTAGGTGCCATTTGTTTATTTTTTGCTTTTGCTTCCATTTCTCTGGGAGATGGATTGAAAAAAAGATTGCTGCAATTTATTTTAAAGAATGTCCTGCCTATGTTTTCCTCTAGGCATTTTATAGTATCCAGTGTTACATTTAGGTCTTCAATCCATTTTTAGTTTATTTTTGTTTGTGATATTAGAGAAGGTTCTAATTTCATTCTTTTAGATGTAGCTTCTCAGTTTTCCCAGAACCACTTATTGAAGAGACTGTCTCTTCTCCATTTTATATTTTTGCCTCCTTTGTCATAGATTAACTGACTATAATCGTGCACTTCCTTCTTAAACACAAGTTGTTATGATATACATCTCCCCTGGCCTACTGGAGATTATTAGCCACTTTACGGTGTCCTCCAGTCATCTGCAGGTTTTCTACTGCACTGCCTCATGTGTGTGTCCTGCAGGCCCCAGGTTCATGCCCTCTGACCTTCACCTGTTACCGCAGCATTGAGGTCCCAGCTCCAGCCTTAGGTTCTGCTGTGCTAGGTAAGCCAGGACTTTGATGTGTCCTGTTGAGCCTGGAGGGGCCTCAGCCACTTCCTTCACGTGGTTCTGCTCGACACTGGGTGCTCCTGTCTGCTGCTGTGGTCTCATCACCGCCAGGAAACAGTAGCGCTTCTGTTGCTGGTCACTTGGCTTGCTTCCACGAGGCCAGGGCAGCTGTCTGCCACCACTGGGTGTGTGCAAGACCCTCCTTAGCTCAGAGATGAGAGGAAATCTGTTTCTGCCATAGCTCTATGGCCTCCCTCCTCTTGTGCCCACAGTCACCTTTCCCCGGGGTGATCAGCATGCCTTGCCTGAAGACAGAGCCCTGTCCCCGGGGCTTTGGGTCTGTCCTGGGCACAAATAAGATAGCCCTAAGTTGTGGGAAGCAGTGAGCAGTCTATTTTCTCTTCCTTTCTTCATTTACTATTCTTGTGTGTCATCTTGTGTTAGGGTTTTTGTTGTTGTTCTGCTGTATTCACCTGTAACTTTCTCATGTGCTACTTCATGCCCTTTGCCATAGTGTTTAAAACAAGCAATCAGGTTTAGCTACAGCACCAGGGGTACAGAGTGGAGTAACAGGAAATGCAGCTAGGACAAGCCAGATCCTCAACGATCTTGGAAGGTCAGCCAGAGTTTGGACTTTGTTCTGCAGGCCACGGAAAGCAAGTAGATATTTTAGAAAGGGATTGGCAAGGGGCAGAGCAGTTGACTAGGAAAATTTGTTTTGTGGCTGAGTGTAGAATAAATATATGTGAAGGAAGAACCAATAGGAAACTCTGAGAGAGCAGGGACCTTGCCTGTCTTCATCACTGCTGAATCTCCAGCAATAAAACAGCACCTGGAATGTAACAGATCCTCAGGAAATACTGGTTGGATAGATGGATGTAGTGAGGGAGGAAGCATGGAGGACAGGAAGAAGAAAGTGGGGGAGGGAAGAAGGGGGGAAGGGAGATAGAAGAGTTCAGGCTTTAATTTTTGGTCTGAATTTGAGGCTGGATCTGAACTAGCCTGTGGCCGTGAGATGGAAAAGAGTTGCTGTAAGGACTGTCACAAAGGGGAGAGTCCAGATTAGTCGTTGCTCGCTGTGGAGACGTACAAGGAGGCCTGAAAAGGGATGGCTCATGGCTTTGCTGTGGCCGCTGCTGTAACCGTGGAACCTTCCAATGTGAATATTTACCTGCATTTGTTTTCTTAAATGCATTTTGTCAGCACTAGTAGTCACAGCTATATATTCAGTTCAGCAAAATGATGACTGGCTGAATATAGATACATAACTATATTTTACTACCTCTTAGATTTTTATTTCTTGGATAGGGTGAATTTTCATTTTAATTAGTACTGATAGTTAATATCAGAATTGGGAGGAAATGGGTTTCTATATAATACCATTGCTTGACATTGTATTGCTGTCTAATTTTAGCAAGTCTGAGGGCTAAAGTGACATCTCTTTGTTGGTTTGATTTGCATTTCTCTGATTACTAATGTATTTGACCTTTTTTTCTTTTTTTTCTTTTTTTTTTGTTTTTTTTCCCCTGCAAATTGCTACTTTTAATTCTGTGCTTTTCTTTTGGGGTCCTTGTTCCTTATTAAATGATAGATGTTCCTTAGATGTATTGGTGTCTTGTTGGTTTTGTACTTCTCAAATAACTTCTCTGTCTTTTAGCAGTACCTTCATCCATGATATTGTTCATTGAGCAGAAATACTTATTCCGTGTAATCAGCCTAAAGAGTTTTTTACCTGTGGTTTATAATTTATAATTTTATTTACATTCTCCCCCGCACTAAGGTCAAAAGATATTCTGATGTATTCTTTTTTGTGAATTTTATAGTTTCACCTTTGTAGTCAAGTCTTTATGTAGAGCAGGACTGAGCAAACATTTTCTTGAAAGGCCAGATAATAACTTTCTTTAAGCATTGCAGGCTAGGCGGTCTCTATTGCAACTCTCCAGCTCTGCCATTAGGGCCTAAAAACAGCCATAGACACTGGTGAATGAATGGGCGCGGCTTCTTCCAATGAAACTTTACTTGCAAAGGCAGATGTTGGATGTTCAGGTCATAATCTGCCTTCCGGTTTAGAGTCTGTCTTCATTTTTGGAACTAGGTAGGATTTCAGGTGTTTTTTTTTTTCCTTCCACATAGTAAGTCAATTTTTACCACACCCTAAAAAAAATCCATCCATTAATTCATCTTTTTTTGTATACTATGTTCTCAAGGTACATGGATCTGTCTCTGAACTCTGTTCTGATTTTTTTAGTCTATAGCTGTTTCAGCAAGGCCTCATTTTTTGTCTCTCCTGTTTTTGTACTATTTCTTAAAATCTGGTAGAGCTGGTCCCTCATTTTTTTTCTTTCTCAAAGTTCACATAACTATTCGTGGACCTTTATTCTTTCACATAAATTTTAGAATATGGCTACTGAATTCCTCAAAAGTATAACTGTGATTTTCGTGGGGATTTAATACAAGGTAGAGGTTAATTTATCCCACTCCAGTACTCTTGCCTGGAAAATCCCATGGATGGAGGAGCCTGGTAGACCAAGGTCCATGGGGTTGCGAAGAGTTGGACATGACTGAGCGACTTCACTTTCACTTTTCACTTTCACTCATTGGAGAAGGAAATGGCAACCCACTCCAGTGTTCTTGCTTGGAGAATCCCAGGGACGGGGGAATCTGGGGGGCTGATGTCTGTGGGGTCACACAGAGTCAGACACGACTGAAGTGACTTAGCAGCAGCAGCAGAGGTTAATTTGGGAAGAGTTGACATATTATTCCACCACAAAACATGTAATGTATCTCCATTTGTTCAGGTCATTTTCTGCTTCTTTTGTTAGAGTTCAAAAGTTTTTTCTTTTTTTTCCCCAATGGAACAGTTATACATTTTGATGAAGTTAATTCCTAAACCCTTATTACGTTACGGTTGTTGTACATGGTATCTTTTTAAATTATGTTGTTTAGTTTTATTAGTATAAAGAATTGCTGTTTTTTAAGTAAAGTTTATGAAAGATTAATAACAAAGCAAAAAACTAATTTT